TATATATATATATAAAACTTGTTACTTGTTATTTCTTTAATAAAGAAGCAGAATCAAAAGAAACAAGAATTACATAAAGTATTCGGTAAGTACACAGAAAAAGTAATGTCATAAAGAATAATATAAATTATTATCGTATATTTATTCCATCTTTTACATAAATCGATGCATGTACATCGATCAAGAGTTTGTAGAAAACATAAACTGGTTATCCGAAAAATTTGTGAGTGCTTAAAAGTATCCTATTTTCTTGTAGAAACTCCATATTTATCATATAATCGGCAAATATTATTGTTTTAATATTCTTTGAAGTAAACTCGCCGGAAATTCCATCTCGCAGATTTAATAAATATTTTCGTTTCAAACGAAATGTGAAATATGAATACTTAATTTTACTCCCGCACGTAAGTATTGTAACAGTTATTTAGTATTCACGAAATTAATTCAAAATTATTGCATGCGTCAGTTTAATATAAATTTTGCTTAATTTGTTATTTACATCGCGCTAATATTTAAAAACAAAGTCAACTTAATATATCATAAATACGCATGCACGCACGCACGCACGCACATGACACCGTCCGGTATATTTAACTAACTAATGTAGCTGCAAATTACCTATTAGCGGGTATTACAAGCGGCAGATAGGCACGCGATAATCAAATTAACGGAATGGTTAACGTCTCCCGGCATGGAAACTGCACTAACAGGACTAACCGCGCAAAGTGCACATGCGTACGCTTGTGGATGTTCAAGTTTGTGCGTTTCGATCGAGATGCGTATGTGTGCGATACATGGATGCAAATGGGATCCTGATATTCGCGCGTATAAACGTTATAACAGTCGTGATATAGCAATGTATGGAACGGTCAAAGTGAGAGAGAATGAAAAGCATAAGAGGCGGAGCGTTACCCGGAGGGAGAATATTATCGCTTCATTATGCTGAAAGTCCTCGAAGGGTCGATATACGATTACGGTAAACCGAATAATCGAGCTTTGCAACATGGCAAGCCTATACGAGTAAAATCCATATTGAAATTGCGAAACAATGCGGCGTCCGGAACACAATGCATGATTGATCGAGCACTAGTACTCTTTCTCTTATTATTTTATTATCTTAGATTCAGTTTAAAAAGCTCCATAATGTGAATTACATAGAAAATCACATCTTTGTAATGGAAGTAATTTGTTGAATCCAACAATGAGATCGATTATGTAATAGGCGCATATTGATACAATTATGTAAGTTTGATTTATATATGAAACAAGAGTTATTTTCTACAAATAAATATTATCCTAACTCGATAGAAAATTGTTAGCATAGCAAGGCATTAATTGTCATCGACTTTTTAATGCACTATTTTGATTAATTTCTTGATGAAGAGATAGCCTCGTTATCATTGAATTGTTCAATGATAATCATATTATTCAAATGGATTGTGCATCGCTAACAAATACTATTATATCACGTCTCTGTTTTTCTTAAAACAAAAAATTTGTGGATATCATCATGTACATTTTGCACGCACAATCTCAGAGAGATCGACGATGTTATAGTTTGGAAAATGTCGCGCTGAGTCACTAACTAAGCCGAGGCGGGACAGCGAAATGCAAGCTGACGGCCGCAAATGGGCGCTTGTACCGAAACTCACGAACCTGTGTAAGCTGCTCCGTCGCTGCCTCGGTCGCCAGTCTGGCCAGGCCCTCCTCGTACCTTTCCAGAGCCGTCAGTCGTAGAAGCAAGTTTTGCAGCAGCGCCGAAACTTCCTGTCTGGCCGCGGCGTCGACCGCAGCGACTTTCTGCGTGATGGACCTAACATGACCCATCACCCTCTCATCCCGGAAGTCGTACGGGAATGTTTCTGTCCATTCCGCTAGCAGCTGCACCAACCGCGGCACGAAGCGATGTAATCGTTCCTGGAATACACACGTATCAGATACTTTATCGTTTTCCAAAAAAAATGACAAAGATAATTTTTCATTTCAGGACGCAAAATACATTTTAGAATGTGATAAAACGAGATTAGAGTACTAATAAGAGAATATTTGTAGCAATATTTGGTATGTAAAGGAGAAATAGCAATCTTAGTTTCAAAATAACATTGTTTATATATGTATACTTCAGAAATTAACATATAGAAAAAATAACGCAGTAATATTTATGTATGAAAAAATACTTAAATATTTGTAATTCAATTTTGAAAAAAAAAAGGATTTTAATAATTAAATTTACTGTGAGTTCGACAAAACCAGTATTTAATCTATTCAAATATAAAGTAATAGCGGAGGAGTGAAAAGATTGGGAGAGAAAGAGTAAGGGGGAGGGGGGGGGGGGGGGGGGAGAGAGAGAGAGAGAGAGAAAGAGAGAGAGAGAGAAAGGGGGAGGGAGGCTAGGTATACGGAACTTTTTATACTTTTTACATTTCGTAATAGAGGGAAGGCAACAAATTGCGCACGTAAAAGGAGAAGAAAAGTATAGATCTTGTTATAAACATGGATACTCCTTGTGGCTATAATAAGGGGATCGAGTTGACAAAGTGAGAGTATAGTGTACCTAATATTGTTATGCCGCATCGCGCCGCGCCGTACCGTACCGTCTCCGAGCGAGTCGAATCGAGTGAAAACGCGTTACCGAGACGAACAACTCAGCTGTTTAATGGATTAGACAGATTGATAGATTTTTGCAATTGGGAGTGTTGGGACATTAGCTATGCTCGAACGTATTTCGATCACTCCTCAGTTTCTCCGCCGTATATGATCATTTTTGTTTGTTGTATGTATTCTAAATAAAGTTTCTTGTTTCTTTTTTAACGAACGTGTGTCTTTTCATTTCGTACGCATATGGACTTGCGATTCGATCGTACGAGCGTAACAATACTTCAATCTTTTTATATGAATGAGATTATATTACGCAAACTCGGGCGCAATGTCATATAATATAAATATGTAGGTATAAACTTCAATGTTTTATTATATTTTTTAAAGATTATTTAAAAAAAAATCATTCATTAAGAACTTACGCGAATGAGAAAGGAAATATTGCTATTTTTCCTCCAATAATTCTATCACATAATTTCAATAGACAAGAATATACACCACATATCGTTTTACAAGATTTGATCAATTATAATCTACCGGTTAATATATCATGCCACTGCATGATAGATTTAAAATTACCTTAAATATGAAGCGCCGATCTGGATGTTAAGATGTTGAACTTATATATATTCATTTAAATGAATTAATTTCAAAAATTATATTTAAAATTGTTGATCATTTCTCATATTATTTCAAGTATGCGTGTTGTATGTACATTTGGTACAACGAAGGATAGAAAGAAAGACAATGTCTCTCTCTTTCTATCTAACGGGAAAGACACAACCATGTGTATAAGATCTATGAAATAATATGAATAATAATCAGACGCACGATTTTGTGATGAAACAATAGTATATGATTTTCGTGTGATATCAATAAAGTGTGTCATGTCGTTTCACAAATTGAAAATATAATTGAAAATACTAATGCTCACCTTACCGCCCTCCCCATTCAGATTCTGTTGATGTTCGCACAGAGCGCAAACTTCGCCCAAAAGCTCGTGTGGTTTGATGAAGAGTCTGGCGCTCAGTAAAAAGGCAAAGAGATACGCCCGATCGGGATAATATTCCTCCGTAGGCACCATGTGCTGCACTAATGCTTCGAGCGAGCCTGAGACGAGATTGCCATCTCTGTATACTAAAGCCTGAAATAGTATACGAGTTGAGTATATAGTATAATAATGCAATAACAGTATGCTGCGAATTTAGTACACTTATCTGCTAAAGTTGATATAATAATGATTATGAATAATATTAATAATTAAAAAAATAAAAATAATATTAATAATTCAAAAAATAACAATATTTTAAATGATATTTTTAAATATATTTTTAAATATTACAAAAAATTTTCATATTAAAAAAATGTTTTAATATTCTTAAATATTTTGAATTACAATATATTTTTATCTTCTTCAAATTTTCTGTCAATATAAATTTATTTTTCAGCTAAATAGAGACTTACAGATATACATATTCTACATATTCTTAAAAAATTACAATTGGAGCGATATATATATAAAAGCAATTTTTATAGACTATTTCACTAATTGTTGTAGGATTATAAACATTTTATAAACAGTGTACTGAAATGTTGATTTTGTAAATTTATACTTAGAAATATGTATATAAATTATATATATTTTGCGTGTGTATGTGTGTGTGTGCTCGCGCGCGCGTACATATATAGTATATAATCAATTTTCGATAATTCATATTATGCTATTTATACATATGCATATATATAATAAATATATACATTATACGAGCTAGCAATGCATAATTCCGGAATTTTTCAAGTTTTTTCATCGTGCAATTTTGCATTACATTTTTCATACATGGGACATCCACGAGTAAATACGTGCGCGGAATGTAGAATTTGCTTGGTAGATACCGTCGAATACCTTCGCGAAACGCGCTTTTGAGTTAGATCGTTTCAAAGTTGGCGAATGCTAAATCTGCGCATCGTCAAAGTTGCACTCATAGCCTGGGTAAGCTCTAACAAGCTGTCGGGTATTCAAATTGGATTCCAACTTAAACTTATCGTGTCTTAATACGACATTGACGAGGTAATATTTCCACCATGCACGACCGTTCAAGTTCTTGGCGCATCCGATTATTTCATTTAATATCGGTAATATCATTCCAGAAATGCGTATACACATGACAGATGTTTGAACGAAAATATCATGGACATATTTATTATACAATATTACCATAAGTATAACCTTGTCAATAATCGATTAATTGTGTGGTTAACAAAATTGATATTAAATATTTTATAAGCTCAATAAATGACATTTTAAAATCAAATATATAAGTGGAATAAAGGACACTTTAAAATAACAATTTTGTTAAATTATGTTATTTTGGCTGATTCTTATATATTTTTTATGCCGATTTTGAAAATAAGGTTAAAATTTATTCTGCAGACTTCAATATTTTGTAACCGACTCATTTATACTAAAAACTTATACATTTTGCTAACAATAACTCATTAGCCTCTGGAACCTTTTTCTTAATTAAAGTGATTTATTTTTATTTATAGCCTTTTATAATGAGTAGAAAATCATTGAATTGAGTATCTATTCCCTATAAATATATATATTTAATTATTTAGGTTTAAGCAGAAAAAAGAATTTTAATAAAATATTCAAAAATTCTTCTATTTATTTACTTATCGTTATTAAAAAATCCTACCTTTCTCATTTGGCAAACAAATTTAAAATCAAAAGAAAAAATATTATAAAAGAAATACTTCATCACATTAATTTA